GCGGTCGGACAACCCCCCCCCGTCACTGTGCAAACCGACCGGAACCCCCCGGGCCGCCGCCGCCACAGTCCACGACCGCCCTCGAGACCGGTCCCGTTCGACTCGTCGTGAAGTTCCGATCAAAACCCACCTGTTATCCTGACCGGAAAACCCGATTCTAGCCGACGGGTTCGACTGGTTTTTCTCCTGGTTTTCACCACGACAGCGCAGCGATTCCGGCCGGTTTTTCCGTCGAGTTTGGTATGTTTTCGAACACTCTCTGTATGCTCTAGCTGTTTTTGGGGTAGGTTTGGATCGATTTTGAGTTTGGAAAACGGATTTGAAACCTAGGTTTTTGGCCGGATTTCAAAGTGAAATTCCAGCCAGTTGCCGTCCAAATTGGACCTTCCCGTAGTTGAATGAAGTGATCCTTCCCTCGAGTAGTATCTAGGGTAGGAAGGGTGAGCAGTGGTGTGGAGTTTTTCCGTCGCTGGAAATTACTCTACACACCCACGCTCTACCGGCGCGTGTGGCAGCGCGTGGGCCAGGTAGTGAGGCCACATTTCATCCTGATGAGATCATTAGGATGTCACGAGTACATAAGATTTTACGGATCTCAATTTGGATGTCGTTTGACTATCGAATGGATTTTGCATATTGTGCGTTATTCGGGTTCGATAAGTTCTAACCGTTGGATCGTTTTCAAATTGAAGTATGTTGATCTAGGTACTCTTAGAATCCTATAGGAATTCGCGGATCGTGAATCGGTGACCCGGATGTTCCGATTCAATAATTTGAAGTTTGGGGAAATCGCGATAACCATATGATTGGGAAGCGATTCCCAAACCTGTAACCGGACCTTAGGATATCCTATTGGACGTACACGCATCGGGAACTTGGGGATTTAAGTATTCTCTTTTGTGAATTCCCGTTTCGAAGTGTATTATATTAATCAAGGGTTCGTATCTCGAAATAGGTACTTTGGTTGATCATACGCAGTAGGCAGGACCCTCTCGGGGCCAGGCAGCTTGGGATTACCTGTGAGTGGACTTTGTTTTTAAGCATTCGCATGGTTTTATTGATAAAAGATTGGTGCATATGTTTTGAAATGGTAAATGTGATTTATTAAGTATTTGGTTGATGGATTTGGATATTCATATACGTATTGGAAATATATTTTGGGTATGGCTATATTTGAGTATTATGGATATGTTTATATGGATTTTGGGATATCTGTCTATATTGCCTATGTATAGAGTATGAGGAGCTGTTGTTGTGAGATTGTGGAAAGATATGAGTTTGAGGGATGGTTGTGAGATGTATGAGTATGTTAGGTGAGTACCATTCCCTGGTTACTAGGCTTCCCACACACGTCGTTGGCAGTGCCGGTGGGGTGGGAAGGCCATGAGATTGTGGGTCTCACACATGTCGTTGGCAGTGCCGGTGTGTGAGACACTTCCCATACGTGTCGTTGGCAGTGCCGGCGTATGGGAAGAGTATGTATATTGCTTAGTATTATCACAGGACTACTCATCCCTGGACGCGGGTTCGTGTTCGAAAATCCTACGTACCAGCCAACAATCCCCCGGTTGGATTGTCTTCCCCGGTACATTAGTATGGAGAGAAGTATACGTTATATTATAGGTATATATACTTATATTTGTATACATATGTATGGGTTGGTGAGAGTTGCATACTTTTGGGAATGGAGTTGTGGTTTGAGATTTTTGAGAGCTATTGGATTTTGAGACTTTGTGTTTGAGTATTTGATTTATGGATGTGGAAACTGCATGCTTGAGCATTATTTTTACACGGTGGGGTTACTATGTTGTTTTAAATGCAAACTTTATTTTTGTCCACTCACATATTTGGAAGCGTTCGAGCAGGTTGCGAGCTCCAAACATTTCCATCTGTAGATAGGATTCGTGTAAATTCCTTCTACTCTACTGTATGTATACCTATGTATGAGTTGGTGAGAGTTGCATACTTTTGGGAATGGAGTTGTGGTTTGAGATTTTTGAGAGTTATTGGACTTTGAGATTTTATATTTGAGTATTTGATTTATGGATGTGGAAACTGCATGCTTGAGCATTATTTTTACACGGTGGGGTTACTATGTTGTTTTAAATGCAAACTTTATTTTTGTCCACTCACATATTTGGAAGCGTTCGAGCAGGTTGCGAGCTCCAAACATTTCCATCTGTAGATAGGATTCGTGTAAATTCCTTCTACTCTACTGTTGTTGTAAACAAATCCTGTTAGATGCTCTGTTATCGCCCATGTTAGGTTGTTACTTGAGGCCGGAGGCCACTGTATCTTGAATTGTTGTATGTTGAAAGCATGCTGGCAGTTGGGATTTATTTCATGTAAATTATGCAGGTTAAATGTTGTTGGGTTTGAGCATTCTACAGGGGAGACTCTGCCAAATTTTTGGTAGGATGTCTTGGGTTTTTAGTAAGTGGGCCCGGCATCGGTGTGATGTCGGCACCAAAACGGGGTCCGCCCCGGTTTCGGGGGAAATTCCGGGGCGGGTCCTGTCACTATGTCATTAACAAGTGCTTTGAACAATGATATCTCCATCACACCTGTGTCAATATACAAACAAGTAAAAATAGTCTCTTTGCAGAACGAAAGGAATAGAGACAAAGTCTTAAGAAGTAATGGAAAAGAAAACACAGAATAGTTTCCAAAATAATAACAACCATATCGCATAAGCACAATAATGATAACTGATTTCCTATGAAGTTACATTCAAATGAGTTCACCTTTCTAAAAATTGGAATCAACAAAATTGGACTAGTACCAGAAAAGTTCATCTTAATGAAGAGGCTGAACTCGAACAGATTTATAATTCAAATCTAGGCCAACTGACAGATATTCTACTTGCATATATATACAATATGTAGATTTTTTCTTTCTTTCTGTAACTGCTTTAAAGGCTTATCCAACGATATATATTTGAAACCAGCATTCTATTGGCCACCAAAGAAAGTTCCTCCCATGAAGGTTTCAACAAAATGAAATATTCTTCTTAACAAAAATACGTAATTATGTCTTAAAATTCAGTGAAGGAAACTAATTACCATGATATATTCAACCCCTAGTTCAAGCTGGTCAAACTGCACAGAACACCTACTATGGTCGACGGTTAGTACAATTCCATTGTGGATCTCTCTTGCCCTGGGATGAAAAGCAATGACATGCTGTCCAATTGATAAAGGCCGAGCTACGTCAGTCAGAAATCCGTCCCTTGTACCAGCATTAAGTTCAGCATAATGCGTTCTAACAGATTCCCGGTGCTGATTAAGCTTCTCTTTTTCTTCCTTCAAGAACTGTTCAGAAAATCTCTGTGGTCTGCCAAGGGAGCTGCATCAACAAGTACCAACAACAAAATTTGCAAAGATTATCAATCTGAAAGGCAAGTCAAAACGGGCCAAACAAAAAGTTCCAGTGAAAGAAGCAGATCAGGGACACCTACCTCCTTATTACACCCCATTCAACACGAGTTAATCTTGGAACATGACCCAATCCAACATGATCCAAGTATTCCACAAACTCCCTTTTAGCAAACCATGGGTAATCAATTGCACTGTAAAACCATTCAAAAGCACACCATCTCCGCACTTGATACCGAGATAAGCAATTAGAAAGCTTTTCCTGTAAATGTAGATGTACATATATATAAAACATAATCAAATATTCAAACAATTCAGATGGCAATATAAATGATGACACGTTTACCTTAATTTAGTTCTCTGTTACGAAATGAAGGAACCAGTTTATCAGGTTGGTCATCTAAAATACTCTCAGGAGACTTTGTATCCTTCTGTATTGATGATTTCTGCATGTCCATCTCCCATTTACCCCTGTTTTTTGTAGGTAAGTTGGCCGGGTTTGCAGATGGAACTTGTACAGTTGATAAACCTGAATTGTTTTCTTCCCTTTTACGATCAGTAGTAGAAGATGCATTCCGTAGAGTCTTCTTCACCAATTTCCCTTGCTTTGTGTGCATCGTATAATGTGAAGATCATTTACCTTTACTTGCGGACTTCTTCCACCTCAACTGTGGCCTGAAACCAATTATAAATACCAAAAGTCAAAAGTGACTGTAGGCACATGAAAATTATAAAGAAAACCAATTGTGATTTGTGACTACTATAAGAAATGACATGAAAGTTTTGAATAATTTCGATCTAAAGACTGCTGAACTTCCAAAATAGCAACATATAAAGAATGTTTCACCATCTGCTCTGTACAAAAAACATTTTGTAAAAGATCAAAAGAATGTGCCATTACCCTCTGAAGGTAAGTACGCTAAGCCTTATTTCTTCGTAGCAAAAAAAGCAAAAAGGAAAAAGAAAAAAAGGGACCACCTTCTAGACTTATAATTTAAAACATCCAAACTTTTTTAAAACCACCACAGAGTCATCTGTAAAGTGAAAACACTGTGAAAAAGTTAGGGTTAAAGGACCCCATACCTCAATCTTTTCATTGTACATGGTCATCAATTCCTGCCATAGCCATACAGACCATATGGGGTAACACAAGTAAAGCAAAACTATGGGAATTTGTAGGAAAAGTGTTATCTGTCCTTACCTTAGATGACAATGACTTCTGTTTTCCTTTTTGCAGCCCACTATTAGACTGATGAACTCCCTTCCTGAGTTTGCCCAGTTTAGATTTTTTAAAAGCAGCATGTTCAACCCCAGGCATTGGACGACTCCCTTTCAGTTTAGACTTGTTAGCAATATTGAAATTGTCTTCCTTGACATGTGCAGATGACTCTAAAAACAGAACCAACAAGAAATCAAAGGTTGAGTCAAATACATCAGTTAGCAGTTAAAGAGGATCTATAAAGTAAACCATAATACCGTTAACATCACCCCATGTTTAACTGATTTGCAATCCTCAAGAGACAAAATACATATTGCAGGAACAAATTGACACAAAAGACCCCTAGAACTATTGATGAGCACTAAACAGTACAGCTAAAAAAAGACAAACAGAGCTTTATTCAAGCATGCAAAATGTAATTCAAGTTAAAATCTTCATGACATATACAGAGGCTTTTTTTCCTTTGTATACTTTCCCTCTTCTTCTACAATTATATATATACAATTACATATATAGTAGTTAGAATGTAAAACATAACAAGCATAAAACAAAAGAAGTTTACCACTTTACCAAATTTCATCGCATCAAATATATTCACATTCTCAGTGCATGTTTTTTATGATTAGTTTGTATTCTAGAAGCAAACAGAAACCTCAGTGAATAAATCAGTCAAAATACTATCTCAGAAGAAATTCACTAGAAATTGAAATTTATGAGAATAACACAGGAGATGCAATCAAACCATAAAACTCCTGGACAGATTGGACTATTGTGTTTCTACCTAATTGGAACCATCAACAATTTTAGCAACAATCAAAGGTTCAAACAATCTATTTGAAACAGCTTTCCCATTAACATAATAAGCTGTTACTGCTGAGCATTTTCTCAAGAGAACGATTTGGGATCACATTACCTATACAGCCATCAACAGTACCTATATACTCATCTTTCAGACCAAAAAATTAAAACATAATAATTAAAAAAGTTATAAATGCAAAAGAGACGGGAAAACATGTTAAATCAGGTTACCTGCCAATCTCAATTGCATAATCACCACGGATGGTTCCAGGGGCAGATTCTGCTGGGTTGGTGGCACCAATAATCTTTCGACCAGTTAGGATAACATTCTTACCCTCCCAAATCATAGCAACAACGGGATCAGAAATAATATAATCAACCAATCCACTGAAAAGGGCTTTGCAGACAACAAGTCCTTGTTGGCGAGTCCATACTTAGTTAGGATTTTGGTTCCTTATTTCATTAGAATTTTGGTTACTAACCAATTATTATTTGGGTGATTTTATAGGCACCCCATTATTTGCTCTTTACACCCCATACTAATTTTAAATATGAATAACCTATTTTACCCTTGTACATAATTACCGTTAAGGACAAAAAAAATTTAAAATTAAAATTAAAATTGCTTACTACACCCCACATATGTTCCTGCGACCCTAGTTTGACTTTTTTGTCAAACTATCTTTACACCCCATACTAATTTTAAATATGAATAACCTATTTTACCCTTGTACATAATTACCGTTAAGGACAAAAAAAATT